TCTACACACCTATAAAACTTTTGCTTTGTTTTCTATTGTTAATTTATATACATTTTTGTTTTAAGAAATTGCTAAACATTTTCGTCTAGTACTGTACAGTTCTAGTCGATCTCCTAAGACAGCCCATCGAGAGCTCTGCTAGTTCAAGCTTGTTCCAACTATTTCTGTCTTGCTCACGCCTAGTGTGTATTCTTTCTATCTTCGCGCAGATTTCTTCAAGGTCACAATTCTAACAAATTGAAATAGACTGTAGATTGAAGTGAATCCCCAAGATATGCAGATTTGGGATATTATATATCTAGGTATATAACCTAGAAATTTAAACAAAGCTACTACTATTATAAGTAATAAACATTATTAAAAGTTAATTACTTTTTTAAAAGCAGAGAAATGAAATCAAAACGAATTCTTATTATAATTGTTCTCTACGTATAGGCAGTATATCGCCATCTAATGATGATTTGCTCGTCGTCAGTCCTGAGATTGGTTGGACACGTACCTCCACTCTTTCCTATCCTGAGCTAATCTTCGCCTTTCCCTAAAGCTAGAGCAATCCATGTCCTTAACTATTTGCGAAAAGTAATCTGATCTAGGTCTACCTCTACCCCTCCTAACTCCTGTTTCTGCCTCTAATATGTTTCTGACTAGACCTTCATGATTATTTGCTGCTAATGAAATATTTCATGCGTTAGACAAGGCCTAATTAAGGTGTCAAGTTGTTCATTTGATGATCAAAGAATAAATTTTTTATTGTAGATTTTTTTTCTTATAAAAATCCCTTAAACGTATCGGTTTGAAACTTCAGTCAAGATAACTTACCCAGGAACCCCCGGTTTTCGAAATGCATTAAGTGCTTGATTATTCAAATAAATTCGATCGCTGTTATCACATATAAGCCTCGACATTGATGCTTTTCGTAACTCTTGAAGTTGCTCTAAAAAGAAAGCCAGAATCAACAAAGACAAATCTAGTATAAGTAATAATGAAATTTATAGCTAGATCAATTAAATATTTAAGGCATAATCAGCATTAAAACACATTTGTCACAAAATAATTGAATCGGTATACAAACACGTACACCGTAATAAAACGAAAATAGTTTGTATTGTTGTAAGCGAATGAAGCAGATGACGATGGATATGGCAGCACTTTTTTATGAGCATTTATAACCCTTTATATAAATCATACACGACACAAAATCTGTTTAAATAAATAGAAAGCTCGTTACAGTATTTCATATCCGTGCGAGCAGTTTTAAAATAATATTAACACCAAAAGAAAGAAATGTTATCCAAACATTTTTATTGCGTTTTGTCCAATTCAAAATTAACGCAATGTTAAGTGAAAATTATGTATAAATTGATCAATATTTAAATAAGTAAGTTCCCATTAGCTTCAAAATGAAACTAATTAAGAACAAAATACGTAGAAAACCAAAACGGTTATTACAATTTTATTAGAAAAACAAAACCAATTGTAAAAAAAATTAAAGTCAAACATTCTATGCTAGACTATGAACTAGCACTGGTAATAAAACTGTAAATTTACTTTTTCGTGCCCAGAACTGGTTCGCTAAATTTCGATCCGGTAATTTTGATGTCGAAGATGCACCACGTTCGGGAAGGCCGGTTGAAGCTGATAAAGACGCGATAAAGGCATTAGTTGATGTGAACCGGCGAATAACAACACGTGAGATCGGATTGAGGTTAAATTTATCAAATTCAACAGTTTATGACCACTTGAAAGGCCTGGGATTATCCTCGAAGCTCGATGTATGGGTTCCCCATGTTCTCACAGAGAGAAATCTGTGTCGCCGCATTGACGTCTGCGATTCGCTTCTCAAACGTCACGAAAATGATCCGTTTTTGAAGCGCATCATCACTGGGGACGAAAAATGGGTTGTATACAACAACGTCAAACGCAAGAGGTCATGGAGCAAAAAAGATGAACCGGCTCAAACCATTTCCAAAGCCGATATTCACCAAAAAAAGGTGATGCTGTCTGTTTGGTGGGATTTTAAAGGAATCGTTTTTTTTGAGCTTTTACCGGATAACACAACGATTAATTCGGAAGTCTACTGTCATCAGCTGGACAAACTGAATGATGCACTTCAACAGAAAAGGTCAGAACTAATCAACAGGAAAGGTGTAGTGTTTCACCAAGACAACGCGAGACCTCACACAAGTTTGGTCACTCGCCAAAAGCTTTTACAGCTTGAATGGGATACAATGCTACACCCACCATATTCTCCAGACCTGGCACCATCGGATTATTATTTGTTCCGGTCACTCCAAAATTTTTTAGACGGTAAAACCTTCACCTCAAATGAGGAGGTCAAAAACCTCCTCGATCAGTTTTTTGCCAGCAAAGACCAAAAATTTTATGAGCATGGAATTATGCTACTACCAGAAAGATGGTAAAAAGTGTTGGACCAGAACGGTCAATATATAATTTAATAAAGTATTTGTTTATTATACGAAAACTGCCTTTCATTTCTACAAAAAAAAACGAAATGACTTTCCGAACAACCCTATATTATGTACATTTATACAGCCTTAAAGATTTTTAGCCCAGTACCGGTCGGCGTCAATGGCGTTCCATAAATCCCCAACCATAATCTGCATGACAGCAGGTACTCCATGTTTTAAATTTCATTGCATTCACAATATGTTCTTGTAGTTACTAATCCCACTTGGCGTTTTTAGTCCTAAGGGGGCTACTCTTGTTCTAATACGTTTGAGGGATTTCCAGGCAGTGGTGTTGTGCTAATTTTTTTTTTACCGGAACGCGTATATATAATTATATAGGCAGGGCCGATCCTGGGTAGGCGGCCGCTCTGTGCGGTCTCATGTCCCAAATTTGACGACGACGGGGGGGGATTTCCCCCAATTTTCGCCCGTCGCCAGGATCGGCCCTGTATATAGCATAAAAAGGAAAGGAAACGAAAATCATTACGAAACCCATTTTGTGTATATGAGCAGAGGTATGCG